TTATACAAACGGCTCTTGTTCGAGCTATTCGATATTCATCGACATTTCCAGCATTTATTATACAACGACGTGCTATACGACTCATGTTATTATGTAATGGGTAAGCCTTCTTTTACTTGACAACCATAGATTCATTCATTTTTGGGCTACTTTTTAAGCTATCCATCCACTTATACTGACCAACAATTCCGAAAAGTCTTCGGCAATTCTATTTCATCTACTTCGATCCTACCATTAATCGATAATGAAGGACAATTTTCCGAATTACGCAACAAACTCATGGGTCAAACAACATCTCGACAATCACAAGTAGAAGCACGAATAACACAATCCAAAGATGACAATGGACCATATCCTGCGGAACAACCACTGTTGGCCACCAAACCAAGACTCCCTACTACCACAACAGAGCAAGGCACAAAAAACAAATTTCAAGATAAAGCCATTATACACTATACGCATGAGAAACGATTCAAAATGATGAAAAAAGATATGCATGAAATTTTTCGTCAAGCTTTTAAATACCTTGGAATTGAAGCTCTTCGACTCATTGTTGGTCATCGAAATAGTCCTTCTACGCAACGTGAACTCATAAGAAAGAGACCACATCCAAAACATCTTACGCTCAAAGGACAACAAAGTAAGACCGGTCATACCCTGTGCCCCATACTTAATAAAAACAATTTTTTTCCCCAGCATATCAAAAATTCCATTATCCAATTTCTTTCTAGAAGCAGAAGAAAATGAAGCCAAAACATCAAGACCAACTTCTTAACATCAAAACAACCCGATCGCCGTCACGGCATATCATCAACAAAACTTATAAAAACACTCTGAAGCGCTTTCTCGCTTCCATTTTCATACTTACCCGTAGCATTTTCTCCTTTCTCTCCTTCAATCTTTTCCACTTCCTTCATTTGAATACAAAAAATATTAAACAAAAATTAACAGCTTCCATAAATTCCTCGATTCAGAACCAAAGTAGAAAATAAAAAATTTCAATTTCAGATTAAAACACTAACCGAACTCAAACGCATACCAGAAAAAAAAACTAGACAACCACCAACACATACCGAAATCACAGGACAATACATTAAATCAACTTCACTCAGCGGCAATACAATATCAACCATCAAAGCAAACAACACAATCCCATAAAAACCACACCAACATAAGACAAATAAAAACACACATTTCAAAATACGCCAACATAAACACCCAACACCAAGAATACATACAATTTCGATCAACCACAAACTACAACATAAAAAAAAACCACCTCGCCGAAAACAATACCATACTTCATCCAAGCAATGTCGACCTCATGGTTGCTACTACACACCACTGTATATCCAATCTATTATAGCTCTTGAGCTACAGTATAGATTTAGAGTTAGTTTCTGATTCTTTTCGGATCGAAACGACTGCCATCTGAAGATTCTCGTTGCAGAGATGAAATGTCGACATCATGGTAGCTTAACACACCCACACCCACACCCACCCACACCCACACCCACACCCACACCCACACCCACACCCACACCCAC